AATAGCTTGTGCAGTGCAGGGCCATGAGTCACTTAAGCTCTGTGTAATTAATTATTTTTTTTTACCACCCCAAACCCATGCTGCCAGTTAAATCTAAGCTGTGTGCGACAGCAAGCCTCCAGCCCAGGACAGCTCTAAAGGTCCCTGATTTACTGTCAGGGTCGATACCAAATGAGAGACCTGCAGCTCCTGGAGACAGCCTGCATCCAGCCCAGCCCAGCATCCCTGGCTGGCAGCAGTTCCCCGCTCCATGGCTTTGCGAAGAGGAGGGCTCCTGCCCACCAGCCAGGGGATTTAGGGGTGGGAGAGCCAAGTCTGCAAGGCCAGGTCTGCCCCAGGAGCTGCCACTGGGAGGAGAGAGGTGCACCGGCTTGGGAAAGCAGGGTCGGATCCAGCTGGTTCACTAGTTCACATTCCCTTTCCCTCCTGTTTTTACCTTCATTCCACAGTTTTAACATTAAAAATTCACTGCCCAAAGGAAGGAACGGAAAGCTCCCCTCGGACACCTTACACTGTCGAAACCCCCCTGAGATCCACCTCGACCACGAAGCCCCGAGAGAGGCATTAAATCAGCGGCGGCTGCCCCACCGCCTTCCCTTCTCCCCACATCTACCTCCCCTCCCCTGGGCTGAATAGGGAGCATGAGAAACCAGGCCGGGTGGGGACGGCCCCGTGCCCCTCGCTTTCTTTCAGGATCAGTGCATCTACGGGGCCGCTTGTGTTCCTCAAGCCCCTCTCCCCCCGCAACACCGGGGGCTGTAATCTGCGGGCAGCGGGCTTGGAGATGGAGAAGAATGCAGGAGCGGGGAGGGGGGGATGGGGACCATCCCCCCCCTGCCACTGCCACCGCCAAAGCCCCAAATTCTTAGACCTGGAGGAGTCACCACCAAATTCCATTCAACTGACAAAAAAGAAATCAAATCCTTTTAAACAGAGCCCACTTTCCCCGCAAGAATGCTCCCTCGGCCTTTTGTTGCAGGGCTTTGCTTGCTCCCAGCAGCTCAGAGGAAGCTGCTCCAATACATTAACCAGTTTAACTTGCTCGTGACCCCCTCTGCCCAGCGCACAATGAAGCTCTTCGCCCGCTTTTTTCCCCAGCTCCTTTTCAGGAGCTAAATCCCCCGCTGTTCCCCGCTCGCTGCTTCTCTCGCTCAACCTTTCTCAGGCCTCTGCTTCAGCCTGGGGAAAATAATAACGCTTTGCATTTGTATAGCCCCCTGGACCTGTGGGATCTCAAAGTGCCCTGCACGGATCGCGTCGTGTCCCCCCCGCCCCGCTGAGGGGACCCGCAGTCCCCCGAGGTGGAGGGGGAAAGTGATGTAGGGTCTGAAGCCACAGAGGGCAGATGGGGTTTGCAGCAGGTTCCAGCCTAGAGTGGTGCCCGAGCTGGAACACACTGGGGGACGATGGGGACAGGGACAATTCAGCATCAGGAGATGCATCATGAGAACCTGTTGCAGGAGGTTTGGGTGCTGGACGGAGAGGCACCGATGTGCTCCACTCTCCACAGGCACCTCGATGGCACTGCCAGACCCTCTGCTACAAGGGAAGGAAGGTTTTATGTTCCCAGGGTTGTTAAAAAAACCCAATAGATGAAAAAAATGAGCCCTTGCACTGGCCCTGAATAGCGGAGCCCGTCAGACAATGGGAAGTTAACCAAGCCCAGGCCGGAGAGCGCAGAAGTCTGCCGCAGGGCGCTGCCATTTTCCTAACAGTAATTGATGCAAAGTCTCTTTTGTGCTCTCAGAAAATCCCAGAAAGAAAAAGCAGGGGGTGAGAGGGGGACTGCAGGCAGGATCCAGCTCCCAGGCCACCCTCCTCCGACGTCTCCCTCGCACACCTCGGCCATGCAGTCAGAGCAGCGGCCGCCTGGCTGCACGTCGGGGCCAAACCCCTTTAAATACCCACGACAATACGATGGCGGTGAAGTCGGTGCCTGACAGAGCTTTTAACCCCTGTCCGACGAAGCGCGCAAATTGTTCCGGGCAGACAATGCAGCTTTGCAGCCTGAAGCACGGCGTTTCTCTCGGATGACCTGAACACTTTATTACTGGGGATTTATTAACCGTTTTTAGCAGCCCTGAGAACCTGGGAGCCTCTTAGGGACCACCTATTGAGCGCCGGGGTCAGGCTGTGAGCAGGGGCGATGTAGAGGGTTTAAACCAATTTAAACTGACCTAATACCACGGTACGGCTGAAAGGGAGATGCCCCACGTGCAGCCCTGGCCCTGGGTTGGTGTGGGGCTGAATCCAGCCAGCTCCAGTGGAAAACCAGTATGGGGTTTCAGTGAGGTTAATTTGCAGTGGGAATGAGCTGGTGGGGTTCCGCTGCAAAGGGCATATTCCTGAGATGTCGGGGACTTGGGCAGTGGGCTCTGGCTCAGGCCCATCCCTGCGGGGCTGGGCAGAGCGGGGGGCACACCGCCACCCCGCAGCCACAGCCGGGCTCACCCTGAGACATCTCAGCGAGGTGAGTTACAGCCTGCATCCAAAATGGGATCCCTTTTGCGGGAGGAAGTGAGACGCCCCTCCTGGTCCAGCCCTGGCATCCCTCCTGCAGAGCAGACATGACTGTCCCTCTCCTCTGGCTCTTGTATGTATAGGGCACCTAAATTTTTTCTGGCACTTGGGCCACCCTGGTTAGGGTTAGGCTCTTTGTACCCAGAAGAGTGGCTGAATGCCAATGAATGGGGCACAGGGTGTTTCAGAGAGCATCCTCCCCACGGCAGCCTCCTGCTCCCCACCCCTTGGATACCATCCTGTGCCCACCGAGGGGTAAGCAGGGCGACCGCTTACCCCATCACCGCTTCCCCAAGGGGCATGGTGCCTTGCTGGGGACACCCACGTGGCAGGCGAGGGCCGAGTCAGGAGGCCAGGCGCCTGGAGAGGAAGCCTGCGGGGATGTGGCCAGCGGCTGGCCGATCCCCCAGAGAGTTTCGCTCTGGCGGGACAATGCCACCAAAAGAACGGCTTCCCCTTGTCACTGCGGCTCACTGACCCTGGGCAGCTGGGCTGAGCCGAACGCCAGCCCCAGGAAGGGGGTTACGGACAGTGCCGGGGGGCCGGGAGAGCCCTTGTGCCGGCGCTGGCGGTGGCACGGCAGCTCGGCAGCCCCCGCCGCATCACTCAGGGGCCGGCAGCACACAGAGCCCGTATTGTCGCTCGCCCTGCGGTGCCGGCCGGGACCCTAACATCTGGCTGCGGCACGTGTTCCCGGCCAGCGCCGAGGCTGCGGGAGCGGGAGAGCAGCTGGTCGGGGAAAAAGTGCCTTTCCTCCTCTTTTGGCTCCTGGAGAAAGGGGCTCTTTCTTCATTCAGGGTTTTGCTGATTGGGCTTTTCAGCTGCCTCTTGAGCCGCAGTTGCTGTGCCATCGGGTTGGAGACAAAGGGCGCCTGAAAAAAATTGAGACTGGAAGGCTGGACTCTGCAGCAATAGCGGGAAGTGGGGAGTGTGGGATCCAGTTCCTGTGTTTGTACGGTCTAACTGCTTTTTTTTTCTTTTATTATGGGAGGCTTCTTTGGCAGCACAGGTCTCTCCCCAGACACGGGCAGTGGCATGCAAAACCAAATCCGTGTCCGAAGCCTCCCTGAGCATTTCTAGCCCGGGGCCATGGTTCAAGGGCTGACCAGGGGAATGTATAGCCTAAAAGCAGGAGAAGGCAAATGCTGGGGCTTGCCTGAGGAAGCAGCCTCCCTGCTTTGTCCTGCCTGGTATTATGGTATTGTTTATCCAGTGCCAGAGATGAATGGAGCACGTGACAGCAGGAAAAATGCAACTTGGACAAGGTCCCTGCCCAAAAATGCAGCAGCCCCTGATTATGGCATTACATTGCAGCCCAGGCCCAAACCCAAATCCGCCTCCGTGTAGCAGCACACACGCTGGGACAGAAAACCCCAAGAGCTCCCTGCCTGCAGAGAGGGAGGATAAGGGGGAAGAGAGGCCCCGGGGTTTGGCGTCAGTATAATAGCAGGTTGGTGGCACATCCAGGACCAGATTTCAACCCAGTTTTCCCTTCCAGCTGCCACTTCTCCCACTGCGTGGCTGGAAAAATGGTGTCTCATTTAACAAGGCGTCATTATCATGGTTAACAATCACTGGGGGGGGCTTGCTTGGCATCTATACAGTATTTCTTTTCAGGCACCCCTGCACTGTGGGGCTGCCCCTCAGCACTGGCTCCAGAGCACGCTGCTGCACCAAGGACGAGATTAGCCAGGTCTGGGAGCATCTCCAGGTCTCCCGGAGAAGGGATGGGAACAGACTCCCCAGCACTCTCTTCCCAGATTTACCCACCAGACTGGAGCTTGGTGGAAGTGAGAGGGGTGCTGTGGTTTTTGGGGGTTTGGGTTTGTGTTTTTTTTTTAAATTATGCTTGGCCTCAGAAGAGACTGATGGGAAAGCGCCTGGAGTTTGGTCAGGGTGCTCAGCTTTCTGGTAACCTCTTGGACACAGCTGTGAGAAAACCTCGGTGCAGGGCTCTGGGAAATGACGGCTGACCAGCGGGAGTGGGGAATGCACCCGTTGCCGCTGATGAAGCAGCGAACGATGCTCCCGGCACGCTGGGGGCTGCAGGGCCCGGCGTACCCCCATCCTGCACCCTGCCCGCCCGGGCCTCGACGGGAGGCAGGGAGGGAGGAGCAGGCAGCCTGCCTGCACCCTGCCAGGCACTCCCGGCCGGAGCGGGGGCACGGCACGGGCAGGAGATGAGCAGGGGCCAGGCGGGGCAGAGGCCGGCCG